GTCAGCCGCCCGCCGCGGGGCTGGGGGCTGGCCGGCCGGGGAGCGCCCTCCCAGGGCAGGGGCGACCGCGGGCTGCCCGTAACCGCTGTGCTGCGGGGAGGAGGTTAAAGGAGAAGTTAGCGCGGTGATGGTGTGCGACGGTATTTATTTATTTTGGAAGGAAGGCTGTAATTAACCCTAAATAACAGCCCTTGCAGCGTGCAGGGGGGAGCCTGCTGGCCCCATCAAAGCGGGCAGAACAGGGAGTGACTGAGTGATGTGAAGTCGCAGATACTGAAACTATGTGCCTGATAATGATATAATTAGGGGATCACAGACTTCTGGCTGCTGTTGACTTCAAAAGCTTTAAGAGAAGCCTGCAGTCCCTCCTGTAGCCATCTTGACTAAAAGCAGACATTTTTCTTTAATAGCTACATACAGTAACAAGAAAGAGGAGGGAACAGAAGGGCATTGTTCACTGTTTCAAAATACTAAATACCCTTTCTGGCCTTTTGCATAGCACAGGAAGAAACTTTATGAATTGACAGAAATACAGTTTTAATACAGTAATACAAAGTCCATTCTGTTTCACCAAAAACGTGTCTTTAATTAAAAAGCAGTTGAATTAACCTGATGACTAGCCTGTCAGATTTTGTTTATAAGACTGTCTTAGGTCAGTAAAATATGGAATTGTAAGTGTGATTGTATAAACAGTTAAAATGGAAGTATGTGTTTTGTTTCACTTTCTTCCTGTGCTGAGACTCATGAAAAGGACTGTCAGCTCTGGTGCAGTTCCTTGTTTGTATCTTCCTTTTAATTGTCATACAGTGAGAAAATGATGAAATTTTTTTTTTTTTGTCAGAGAGGGTGGGGGGAAGACCTCACATAGAATGCGTAGAAAATGATTGAGTCTTTTTTTCTGTAGCATGCTGGATGACAGTGTGTGTGAATTCATGAAAAATTAGGTTACTTGGTCTAAAAGCCCAAGGGAATTGGACTGGAGACAGTGAGACACTCGATCATTTGGCTTCTATTAAGCAGAGTTATTAAAGAGCAGCAGGAACTTAAAGGCCTGGAGTCTGCAGGAGGATCTTGGGGGAAGTATTAAGGTAGGCTGAAGAGGGGAAGCTAACTTGGTTGGGAAGTTTTCTAACATCTTTCAGAATACTCTTTAGGTATGAGATGGTAGGAAGCATCATAAGAAGGGGTGGCAGCAGGGAAGCCTGCAGATTGATTTTTGAAGTGCAGGCTGTAGCAGGAAGACATCTGACAGTTCAGTTGACTTTGAAAGCCCTGGTGCCACTATGATGGCAGGTACACCAGGCACATTAGAAGTAGTTTTGAGTCCACTCTTCTAATGATGGCTCCAGAATGTGGCTTTGTCCTAAACCTAGGGTCGATGGCAATTAAGTTGGAGTTGCAGCTTGCCTAGAAAGAGTAAGTTTTCTCTACAGCACAGGACACATATAATTCATACCAGAGCAGTTTGGAGAGCACAAAATGAAGAGTTGTATGAAGGGAACTTTTTTATCGCTTCCTTCAGAAATTTTTGAGGTTTCCTGAGAGATTTTTCATAGAGCCGGTAGAGGATTTTCAGTCTAAGTGTTTCCCCTTTTGACCGCATGCTGGATTGCATGCAGAATTGGGGAGGGGCCAGGGGGTTTTTAGCCTTGCAATTTCACCCCATTTAATAACTTTACATTTGAGTTGAGAGACATTGACTCTGGTGAACAGATTAATTATGAACTGCACTGTTTCTGTTTTATAATACTGATAAAAAAAGCTTTTTTGTGTGAATGGCTACTTAAAGAATGTCTCTCTTTCTGGAGAAATTGCAAATAGTTGCCCAGTTTCACACAGTAAAAACCTTCCTGACTGGGAGACTTAGACGGTAATGGTACTAGCTAATAGCTTTATAAGGTGTTAGTTAAACCTTTTAAATTTTGGCACAACATTGAGAGGTAATAAACAATTCAGCAGTTCCGATTTTTTTTTTCATTTGTCACACAAATATTTAAACGTAGTATTTTTGTTGTGTGCTTACGCTCAGTTAAAAGAAGCATTACTGCTATAAAAAAAGAATGCTGTTCCTGTAGTAATGGTTTAAAACATAGATGTGACTTCCTTACAGGACCGAAGGTGTGTATTGCTTTTAAAACTGGGATTTAATTTTAAATGTGGTTTAATGCAACTGCTGACAGCGAGTGGAAGTAGCTATAAAATGGTCTTGTTAGTTATTTACCTTGAGGAAAAAAAGCCACTGTGACCTCCCTCCCCCGTCTTCTCCCAATCCCTGTTTTAGTGAAATGTTCTTGCTTTAATGCAAAGGGCTGTAGTATCAGTAATTAAAACAAGTGCCCCAAGGCATTTGCAGGGGTTAAGGTTACAACGAGGTAGGCACTGTACAGTGATGGGAAGGAAACAACGCTTACTTTTATGGATTTACAGTCTAGAGGAGTACCCCAAAACTGGCACAGAGTTTGGCTGTGTGATGCTTGCGGCTCATAAGAGTACCTAGTAAGGTGTCCCTAAAGGAGCAAGTTCTTACCTTTCTTGCACAATTTTTTTTTTTAGGTGAAATCAGATGCTACTGTGATGCTGCACACTGTGTTGCAACTGGCTATATGTGCAAATCTGAGCTTAGCGCCTGCTTCTCCAGACTGCTTGATCCTCAGAACACGCATTCCCCACTTACTCATGGCTGCTTGGACTCTATTGCAAGCACAGCTGATATCTGCCAAGCCAAACAAGCACAAAACCACTCTGGCACCACCACCATGTCCACATTGGAATGCTGTCATGAAGATATGTGCAATTACAGAGGACTGCATGATGTTTTGTCTCCTTCCAGGGGCGATACTTCAGGTAGGGCAAGGAAGCTTCACTGAAATCCCTCTTCTGGCCGTCAGGCTGGTGACAGTCGAAACCTTGTATGCCTGCTATTGATTTAGGCGTTAATGTAAGTAGAGACACCAGAGGGAGGAGTGGCTGGATGCAGGGGAGCAGCTCGGCTGTGTAGGTTTTTTGTCTGTGTTAGTAGTAGAGGTCGGTTTTGCCAACTTGAGATCGCTTCTAAGAGGCAATGGCAGTGGTGTTCCTAGTTAAATCAGCTATCAGGGTAAGAAATTCCATGTTACAAGCAGCCTTAGAAACTCATTTCTTTATAGGAGTAATTTCTGTAGATACTGCACAGTGTGTAGCTGTGGCTCCTTAAACATGCCACTGTGGCATTTAAGGGAGTTGCTTATGTATGAACCAGTTGTTGATACCAAAATAAGCTTTGCATCTTTCCCCTTTGCAGGACAAGGGAGCAGGTATCAACATGACAGCAGCAGGAATCTCATCACCAAGGTGCAGGAGTTGACCTCTTCGAAAGAGTTATGGTTCAGGGCAGCTGTAATTGCTGTTCCTATAGCTGGTGGGCTGATCTTGGTGCTCCTTATCATGCTGGCCTTGCGGATGCTCAGGAGTGAAAATAAGAGACTGCAAGATCAACGTCAGCAAATGCTTTCCCGTTTGCACTATAGTTTTCATGGACATCATTCGAAAAAAGGGCAGGTGGCAAAATTGGACTTGGAATGCATGGTGCCTGTGACTGGTCACGAGAACTGCTGCATGACCTGTGATAAAATGAGACATTCAGACCTCAGCAATGATAAAATTCTTTCACTAGTCCACTGGGGAATGTACAGCGGACATGGGAAGTTGGAATTTGTATGACCAATTATTTTTTAATCTGAGCTAAACTTACTCTCTGAACTCTTGGAGGCCTTTGGGTTCTGCTGGACAGGAGCACTTTATCTTAAAACAAAAACTCTCATACATCATCTTTGAGAAACAAAGGACCTCTGCAAACAGAATCTTGGATATTTCTTCTGAAGGATTCCAAAAGTTGTCTTATTTGCACAGAGTAAAATACACTCAAATGTATTGTTTGCTTTAAAGTTATGAAAGCAAAAATTAGAAGTTGTAAACACTGTCACCAGGGTTATCTGAACTGTAAGGAGCTGAGAACTGAGTTATAATAAACTGTATACAAGCTCCTGTGTTTCCTGACTTATTGTAAAGATTTTTTAAAATATATATATTTTGTCTGAAACTTGCTTGTGACTTTTGTTTTGGAAAACAATTTTTTTTGGGGTGGTGGCAAGAAACAAATCAAGGTGGTATGCATGGTAGTGCCATGCATAACAGTTGGTTTCTGAAAACAGAGTATTCCCCTACTCTGAGGGAAGTTAGGTTGTTATTCTCGTGTGAAGGTGGCAGCTTTATTGTTTAATACTTCAAGTAGCGGTGAGCCCACATCCTCAATTCTTGGCTGTTGCGTTTTGCTCATGACCTGGGTGAACTCTTCTGCAGTTTTGTGTGACAACTATTTCTTCCTCTCTGTTAATGAAGAAGTATTTCCTCTCTCTGTGGAAACCATGTCAGAAAGTGGCTCCTAATTCTTTATAGCTGATTTTCTGCCGTCTTCTCATAGTTCTTGTTTTCTGTGATTTTTTTTTTTTTTTGGTACCTCTTGTTCTCAAAACTTTTTTTGGGGGGTGAGGTGGGAAGGGGAAACCCCCAAACCACTATTTTGCTGAGTATATGTTTTGTGTTTTGTTTTGGTTTTTTTCTCTGCTGGTAACCTCTCTGGGCACAGTGAAAAACATCTGCCTTGCTTTTTTTATACTGTAACTGGGTATCACGTGCTGCTAGTTTGGTGTGGGACTGAAGAATCAACAGCGTACTCGCTTTCATCTCTGGCTCCTCCTTTATGCTATTCTTGCATAGGTGGCTCTTCTTCCCTGCTGGTATTTGTGCATTAGTTGTTTCTTACTCCTTCAGCTAGTTGGCTTCACTTGATTATTTCATTTGTTCAAAGCCTAGTTACTAAAATCAAACAAAACCTCTGGATTATCTGAAGAGTTTATTGTATTTATTTATCTTGCTTTATTAGACTCTGTTGCAGTAATTAAAGTAGATTTGCTTAAAAGGGAGATGCCACGTCATAGTGAAAGAAGGGTCCAAAATGCTGCTGCTGGAGATAAAACTTGGCAAGAGTCTAGTATACATCTTATGTTCTAAATAGCTTTAGAAATGCTTCTGCATCCTTCTGTTCTGGTTGTAAAGTTGAGTTCCTACTGTTGCTACCAGTGGATGGGGGATGGCACAAGCGGGGTTACGACAGCCTTGCAGCAGTGCTCTGATCCTGTCTACTGCTCACTGTGGTGGATTCCTTTGGGATGTGCAGCCTGAAGTGGAAAGGGATGCAAGCAAGGGAAACCTGCCCCTCGAAGTGGCAAGTTGGTGTCCCTGAAGGTATGCTTAAACTATGTGGTTGGCTTGTTGGTCACTTGGCCGTGCAAACAGGTATTGGTATTGCAAACTTGCCCATACAGTTAAACATTGACACTGGCCGAGTGCAGCGAGAGCTTTGGGAATGGCAAGGTCCCGCCGTGCCCATGTTTGCAATATTGAAGTGTGGTTTAGAAGAATTAGTTTCGTCTATGTACCTCAAGCTGCTGACTCTTCTTACTTCCTCGAAGTGCCTGGAGAGTTGCTTTTAATGCAGAGAGTGATGTTCTCTGATTTCCACCTCTTCTTGCTGCTAAAGTTTAAGAAATTATGTGGCTGCAATTGCTGTTGGAATCTGGTCTGTGGTTGTCTGGCTGACCTTTCAAAGTGCTGCTTTCCTATACAAGCTTTACCCTTCCTTGCACTGATCTGAAACTCTAGGGCAGTTGTGTCCTTTGCCAAATTTAGTATTTTTGGGGATGACTGGCTTGGAACTTGGTGCTGAGAGAGACAAACCTGAAATATGTCTGTCAGGTGTAGCTGCAGCAGTAGTTATGACTAGACAAGTTAGAAGATCTGATGGCTAAACCTTCCAAGTGCTTTCTCCAGAAATCTGAGGGAGCATGTTGTATAGTCATTTAAGCATCCTGTGACCTTCACCACTCAGTTGCTGCTGATTTGAATACATAAGGACCTATTTATGTTTGCCATTAAAAGGCTAGTAAGACCAGAATGCTCTAATTGGCCCCTTGCTGTGGAGATCTTTTAAAGAAGAAAAGAGATTGTTTGTCTTTCCCTGCAGTCCTGGGAGCAGGGCCGTGGAGCCGCTGGGGACAGCACTTTGGGTTAGCAACTGCAGTCTCCTCGTTCTGTTACCTGGTGCAGTATGTGGAGTTTTGGTGTGGTAGCTGATGTAGCCTCGAAGTTTCTGGACTGTGAGTCTTCTAAGGATGAAATCTGGATTTACAATCTATTTTAAAGCCCATATATTCAGGAAATTGTTATGAGCTCTGGTGTCTGGCTGGCAGCAGCTATGTGAGTTATGGAATGAGCCCCAAATCTTTTCACTGAAACTACTGACTGCCAAGTCTGAAGGGCATTGGAGCAAGCAGTAGCCATCTGCATTGCTGGTAAGGATTTCTGTAGTGGCTACCTGCAGACCTCAGCAATGCCAGCTGTCCATTACACTGCTTAGAATACCTGTATTCCCATGACAAAGAGGGACCTTAGTGATGTGTCATGGCTGCCCTGGCTGCTGGGTGCCATACTGGTGTGGAACAAGGCAGTCCCAGGCACCCACTGTATGTGACCTGGTGAGGCAGGGAACAAACATTAATAGCTGAAGAGCCTGGCCAGAGGCTGGAGGCTGAAGAGGTGAGGCAGTAAGCGATGGCTATCCTTCTAAAAGGCATTTGACTTAGGAGCCTGGATTTGTTATTGTGCTTTGCACTCTCAGATTTCCCTTGCAGACGATAACAAACACTCTTCTTTGAAACCCCTGCAAGCCCTGCAGCATAAGGCCAAACCTCTCTATTTCTAACTGAAAAAGTCTCTCAGATCAGAATAAATGAAATCAAATGTCCAAGGAGTAATTTAGCATCCCCTGTGCCTCTCTTTCC